AGACGCGACCAAACGCATAGAATCTTCCTTTATCTGATGTCGGTACCATTTTAGAGATGTACATCATTAATGGTGCAAGTGGATCGCATCCTTTTATTCCAAGAAACGCTTCATCATCTTGTGGACCCTCATATAATAATTCAGCACGATAACGTTGTGCAACCATTGGCGATGGTAAATGTAAAGCAATCATTGTCAATAGAATATCACCAGCCGGTAACCACTGTTTCATAACTAATTTCAATAATGGTTTACCACCCTCTTCTAATTTTTCTTTGTCATCATCAGATATTTTAATACTTAATTCTTCTAATAATGCTAAACATTCTTCTTTCTTACCGTCCATAATAGCACGAAATATTTTAAATATTGGATCTAATATAAATTGATTAAAACCACGTATGTAACCTTCACCACCAGATTTTGTCCATGTTTTCTCTGATGGACTGAAAAAATTATCACCCCATAAATGTTTCATTAATTTGTCTGGTTCAATTTCAAATTTCGCCGAATACATTTCAGCAAACTCTTTCAATGTAAATGCCCATCCATACAAGCCAGCGCCAAAGCCTACTGTACCTTTTGTTGGATCCACCCGAATTTCACCCATTGGACCGCCATCTTCACCGTGGGTGGCAATAATAACGTTGACATTTTCAACAATGCGTTGGAATGTTTGATATAAATCTTCTTGTTGAAACTGTAATTCTAATAGAGCGCGATCCATTTTATTCATAAATAATATTGGTTTAATTCGTTCAGCAAGAGCTTGTTTCAATACGATTTCTGTTTGTATACAAACACCCGAAACACAATCAACAACGACCAATGCACCATCGGTAACACGTAAAGCAGCTGTAACTTCCGATGAAAAATCTACGTGACCAGGCGAATCAATTAAATTAATTAAGAAATGTGCCTGATCTGGTTCACGTTCTTGTTTAATAAATGCTAAATCTTTAGCTGGTAATTCATAATAAAGTGAAATAGCAGTTGATTTAATTGTAAAACAACGTTCTTGTTCATCTTTACGCGTGTCTGTAAAACGCATTTCACCGGCTTTTTGTTGAGCAATAATGCCAGCTTTGCACACGAGAGAATCTGTTAATGTTGACTTTCCGTGATCGACATGAGCAATAACAGACATATTACGAATGTTACGCTTTTTGTCCATAAGGATACGAATTTCATCAACTGTGTAATGTACCATTTTTTATTTCTACTAGATGTTCAACTTGCTGGAAGGATATTTATTATTCTTTAATACAAAATTGAAAAATAAATTATTGTAAGGTATTATTGTTTGGTGCAACACTATACGGAGAGCAAAGACTCTACCACGAGGCCTTACCTCTTTATAATGTGTTTAAAATAAGCAACTACCCAGGTTGAAGAATCGTACTAAAATCATACATGATCGTGAAAGATCGTACGAGAAGTAAGAAGTGATATGACTCGTACTGTAGGATCGTATGATTTCTTATAGTATGATTGTGGTACGGATTTGATTATATCACGGTCAGGTATTTCGTATGAAATCTTGCAGTATGATTCATACAATGGGTACTTCAGCTTCATTGCTCTTTTATCGGAAATCTCTTTATTTCGATAACCATTTTGTCGTATCCACATAGTTCTTGATCTGACGGCTAGCCTTTTTCAAAAATTCTACTACGAGAAATGCTTCATTGGTTCGAATTTGCGCCAACAGAAATGCGAGAAAATATCTCTGTAAATATAAACTCCAAAATTTCCGTAGTGATTTCTTTTTAGTTTATTAGGATTAAAATCAGCTAAAATAAGAAAATTAATGGTAAAAGAAATGATTTGGTCGCAACAGAAGTAAAGAACCGAGTAAAAAGCGCGGTTAAATCATAAAAGGACTCTCGATATTTTACGAATTTCGAAGCTCAAGATGACAATGAAGACGACGTTTGTCGAACAATCGGCTACAATCATTTTGTAGAGCTCGATGAGCTCTATCTATTCTGATAATAAATAGAATAAACTTTCAGAGATTTTGAGATATATGAGCTCAAACTTTCCAATTTTTTTCACTAAATCGATCACAATACAAATATGTTTGGTAAATTAAGTTCAAAAACCATGCAGTTGTACAAATATAACTCTGATCCATAAAATCGCGAGTAAAAGATCGTCCATCTGGAACCATATCAGCATTATGTACAACTCTACAGCATTAGGTATTCCTCCATTATAACTATTTGATACAGCAGGATGAATCGATGAATTTTTAATAATAAATTTTACGTTTAGGTTATCACAGGGTATCCACGGATGTTACAAGTCTTTTGTTCTTTTTTGTGATATCGTCCCAGGTCAATGAATCCTATGTAGGATCCTACAGATGATAGGATATCATAAGATTCCTATAGGAATCCTATGATATCCTATCATCTGTAGGATCCTATAAGATCTTATGAATTTCCTATACAAATCCTATTATAAGATCTTATATGAATCTTACCATAGGATCGCAATGAAAATCCTACTAGAATTCTTACTGTAGGATTCCTATAAAATTCTATGAAATCCTATCGTAGGATTTCATAGGATTCTTATTTTTCTCTGTTCTGTCGTCTTTTCTATTCATCGTTTTGTTTGCCAGAGAAACACTTATAAACACGACGCTGAAAACAATTAAACATCGAGTTGAATAAGCTCAATTTTTCGCATTGAACAGTGTGAACATGAACCTGGAAGCTCACTCACTGTTCTAGGGTTCATCCCAGTTCTGATTCAGAGACTGGGAAAGAACCCAAAAGAGAAAAAGTAAATAAATAAAGCTAGCAGTAAATAAACAGCTGATTTAAGACTGACTATTTTGGTTTCAAATATGCCAGGATTCCTATGAAATCCTGCGTAAGATCCTATAAGACCTTGCGTAGGATCTGATTGGATCCTACGACAGGAAAGTATAGGATAAATCCAGGACAAAGAAGTCTTACGTCTTTCCTACAAGATCCTATGTGGATTTGGTAATATCCTACGTAGGATCTTGTAAGATCTTGTAAGAATCCTATGGTAGGATTGTTTGACCTGGGCTGCCCTTAAGTAAAATCAAATCTTATCTTATCTTATCTTATCTTAATGCATAGCATATAAAAACTGTGTCTGAATATTTATCAAAACATCAAAGTTTGATAGTTTTTGAAATCGATCAACCAGACAAGGATAACACATTTTTCTAATAGTCTGGCATGGCTGGTTAACGAAAATAAATAATAGGGCTTTGGAAGTTTTCTAGTTTTACGAGTGGATGGTCTCAAAGCACATCCATAGTTATGGATGATCGTGCTGTCATATAGTTCAGGAATTAAATCTATAATCTATTACGGGTCTGCTTGTTGATCGATTTGTTGAATCATATTTCGCATTCTTTCTGCTTCATTTATCAGTACAGTTTCCACTGCTGAGTACCCATACAATCGAGCGAGCTCTTTTGCGGTACATGTACCTATGAGCAATCGATATGTTCGTTTAGGTAGAATTTCTCTTACAAGCACTAACGAGGGAACCTTCCGAGGTGATAAATCGCTTGTTGATCGAAATCTAGCGGGTTATAGATTATCGACCATGCTGATTTCGAATATGACCATGGGAGTTCCCCGCAGCTCTTCGAAGTTCCAGTCTTCTGGAAAATCAGTTTTTCAAAAACTCAAAAAATCAGTTTTTAGTATTAACGGAACTAGTGCATCTGTACAACTATGTTTGTTTAATGCAGCTGATAATTTCTCTTTGTATAAACTTACACACATAACGGTTCTGCCAATGCCTTTTGTGAGGCACCATACTAGCTTGATCTATTTTTGATTTTAATTTGTTGTTTTTTTAGGTTGTGGTAAAACTGCTCTAATTAATTCTGTATGTCAAAAACTTTTAGACGGCGAATTAGAAATATTTCGTATTCATGCTGGAATAACGAACAGAAAAATAATTTACAGAATAGAAAAAAATCTTATTCCATAAGCAGCAGAATTGTTACAAATCAGCAAGCGTTTATGGATATTCTTTGATGAATTTAATACAACAAAAGGTGTGGGATTAATTAAAGAAATAATTTGTGAAAGAACATTGAGGGGTAAACAATTGCCAGAAAATATGATCTTTCTTGGGCGGGTAATCCTCGGCGACAAAAAGCAGAACAATTACATTTTGATGAGATTATTAGAATAAAAACGATCAATATGATGTACAAAAGGCTAATTTAGGTGAACATTTGTGGTATACAGTTGTGACAATACCAGAAACAATGATCGAATATATTTATGACTATGGTTATCTTGACAATATTACTGATGATTTGAGTGAATTAAAACGAAAATCAACTTCGGTTTGTCTTTATTTTTTGATGAAATCTGAAAAGATTTTTTATTTTATTCATTGTTTTATAGAATTTTGATAATTTATTTAATATGAAGAATACAGTAGGTAATAGACGACCAAGTGGTGAAAGTGCATTGTTATCAATAGCTAATGTAATGAGACCATCACCATCCACATACCCATGTACTAGTATGGATAATATTGATGATGTAAGTGTATTAGATATTATTAATAATATATATAAAATATAAAAGTTTATTATTTTTGTTTAGAAACGAAAAGATAAACCACATTATGGAAAAACACTGCGTGTATGTCTCACTACCAACAGCACCTTCTCAATCAAACGATCATGCATTAACTACTCTAAATATTCGACCAGCTATCATTTCAACACCTGGAACTACGTTCACTACCAAATGCCACCGCTACTAGATCAATGACAAATGAACTTTTACAGGAGATAAAGCCTGTTTCAAATCTAATGTCACCCATCTTGAAGCCGATTAGACTACCTTATATATAATCACCGGCTACGGTTCAACCAACTTTACCTCATTCAGAAAATCCTTCACCTACTTATCAACGTTTTCCTGCACCTGCTAACATTAAGCCTATTCGACCACATCATTCAGTTTTGTCGCAAGAATCAAGCATGAGCTCTCCCGAAGTTTATTATAAGTACAGGAGACCACAACATGTCCTAATGCGTTCACCAAACCATGTGCAGAATGTGTCGCATGACATTATTCATGAAAAACAAAATATACATCGTGGACGTTCTCAAAATCAGATAGTGAAGGCATCTAGCGATGAACATATTGAAAATAGTTTTAATTCAGATTATATGCCCATTCGTCCACCTACAAAATCGTACCACGAAGAAGAGAACAATAGTCCAGATAGTTATATTTATCCTCAACGTCAAACTCGTCCTTCATCCACAATGGTTACTACAGCCCATAACGCAACAAATATTCCGACGACAACTATTATATCCAGTGGACGAAAATTGCCCCTAAATGGTAACGGTGAAATTTTTGATGTTTTTCCTTCAAAACCTAAAAAAAGCTCAATTTCTCGTTCCACAGTATAATTGCAAATAATGAGACAAATGAAGGTCATCGAGTGATTTGGATTCTTTCAATGAGATGCTTGTTTTTCTTTTGGCA